TGGCTTCACCACCACATTAGAGTCGTCTGACTAAAAGTCAGTCAGTAGCTATTTTCTCTTTCCTTGCCCATTGTAAAACAAACAACTGGTCTGTCCTTCTCGGTCTTGGTACGAGCCGGGTGCACAGGCTTTGCACTTGAGAGTTTCCTTGTCATAAAACGTTCCAACGGGGCAGGCAACTGTGAAACGGAAACAGAATGGTATGGGACAATGTTCATTTTGTAGTCAACCTTTAAACAAGGTATATTAAAAGACTTTTTGTCCTGTTTTGATAGTGCGATAATAATGTATAAATACAAGTTTGAGCGCTTTAAATTTCTGTTTAAAAGTTTTGTTCCAAATGGGTTGTTATTTTCGCTCAGGTACAGATAGCAGTGGCCTATGTACACAATCTGATTGGCTTGTCGGGACTGATTTCCAAGCCGGAAAAAGTAATTTAAATCATCCTCCTTAAAGAAGCTCTGGGTTATTTTGGCCATTTACAAAATTACCTTTAAGGTGAAGGAAACCTATCTTACTAAGGTAGAAAAAAAAAAAAACAAAGAGATAAAGAAACAAGGATGGTCAAGGAGATTAACACGGATTACAAACGACAAACATCGAAAAATTTAAGCTAAACTTTTCAAGATGTGAAACCGTGACGTAGCTCCTTTGATATAACTTTAATTTCCTTCTAATCAAAAAGTACAGCCCGAAATATAGTAACTCTTCCCCAAAAAATTTTTGTCATCAATTTTCCGTCGGGTCACACCGAAACTTATTTCTAGGACTCATGTAGGGCAGCTACGATGCTCTAGAAATGGAACACATCAGCAACTAAATTTCAGAGCTACACTGTAAGCCCCATCTCTTAAACTCACCGCAGCCCGCTCTCTTGATGTTTAAAACAGAACCAGGTGGGCATTTAAACTGCGTGGAAAGGTGTTTGAGTGACGACCTTTTGGCTGTCATGTAAATCCCGTCGACACTGATCGTAAACTTCCCTGTGGAGACGACATACTGCAGCTGGAATAAGACAGCCTCGCTTGTGTCGTCTATGGTCACCTTCAATGTCGATTGGCTGCTTTTGATTGATACCAAAAACAGAATCTCTAAAGCATCATTTTCACTGCGACACTTAGACACTTTGGCGACACGAGTTTCACATTCACCAGCAAAAGAGCATCCTTGAACACTTCTGAGCGATGTCCAAACTTGGCGCTGAACTAAGACCGGTAGTTGCTGCTGGTTTCGATTCCTCTGGCACGAGATATCGGTAAAATTCAGGGAGAATTTATGTTTGATTTCACTTGGTAAGACGTCGCCTGTAAAAAGAACAGGAAATTTCGACTCGCTTTTTCTTTGTATTTCTGGTATATTTTTCCTAACTATACATACGCATGACACAAGACATGGGAGATAGAAACAAAGATATATGACTGTAAATAGAATTTTGGCACACGGTGTTTGCCCATTGGGATTAGAGAGAATGACGAATTCTACGTTGTTCGACTCCTGTCGGACCGTGTAGCCATATTAAACGAAAGTTGTTAAATAAATCTTCTTTAGCATTATTTCATGTGAACGTTTATGTTATATTAATAGCTTTGAATCAA